CGGAGTCATGGCTGCGGCACAGGACTCTGGTGGGGGCAGTGGCTCGGGGAAGAGCAGGCCTTGGTAGCAGCACAACACCTTGCTGCGGGAAGGCAAAAGAGAAGAGGAGGAGAACACTGCTCCAGGAAGAAGTGCGGGCAGCAGTGGAAGAAGAGCGGTCCGGCAGGGTGCTTGGAATGCGGCAGCAGGTAGCCTGGACGCGATGGGAGCAAGCAGCAGAGCGCAAAGTCACGTGGACTGAGCTGTGGAAAGCCGAGCCCCAGCGCATAAAATTCCTGATGCAGGCTGTATATGACGTATTGCCAAGCCCGTCTAACCTGTTCTGTTGGGGGAAGGTGGAGTCACTAGCGTGTGCCCTGTGCCAGAAGAGAGGGACCCTGGAGCACGTCTTGAGCTGCTGTCCGAGGAGCCTGAGTGAGGGGCGCTATCGCTGGCGTCATGACCAGGTCTTGAAGGCCATAGCGAACACCATCTGCTGTGGAATAGCCCACTGCAAGTGCCTCCGCCCAGTGAAGAAGACTATCTCCTTCATCAGAGCTGGAGAAGGACCACCAGCTGTTGCCAGGGTCTCTTCCTCTGGCCTGCTCACAATGGCACAGGATTGGGAGCTGATGGCAGACTTGGGGAAACAACTGAAGTTCCCAGAAAATGTGGCCATAACATCACTAAAGCCAGACGTGGTGCTGACCTCAGCAACATGGAAGCAGGTTGTGCTTCTGGAGCTCACGGTCCTCTGGGAAGACCGAATCGAGGAGGCCAACGAGTGAAAGAAGGCTAAGTACAGCGATCTGGTGGAGCAGTGTCGGCTCAATGGGTGGCGAGCAAGGTGCAAGCCCATTGAGGTGGGATGCAGAGGGTTTGCTGGCCAGTCCTGCTGCAGGGTGTACAGCATGCTGGGCATCACAGGGGCCAGCAAGCGAAGGGCCATCAAGGAGGCCACAGAGGCAGCAGAGGTTGCCTCGCAGTGGTTGTGGATCAGGAGAGGAGATCCGTGGGTAGGGTAGCGCTACCTGGACACAAGCTGGGGACTGATCAACCCTGGCTGGGTCGCCTGGAGGAGAGTGTATGATGTTTGAAAGACCCGAAACACTCTATGATACCAGGTAATATCACTGATGATGTGTCCAGGTTGCATCACTAGTTGATGTATGTACAAAGCACATTAAAAAAATATGGATATTTTGATGGCAAAAATTAATGTCACTGTAATAACAAGAAACGCCAACCTGCCCGACAAATAACAAAATAGCTTCTATAAGAAATTCATTAGAAAGACTCTGAGAATGAAAGGAAAACATTTTTAATGATCCAGCATTACCCTAGAGACATTAATGTTGATACTGCCACTTACAGTTTTTTAGTTTATAAACCAAAATATAATTGTTAACTAGGCTTATTATCTTTTTAGCTTTATCTTTAACTTTTCAATTAGCTTTTTACCTTTTTTCTTGACTTAATTTCCAGTAGGTAATAAATCATTTAAGGGCTCATCTAATTGGTCAAATGCCAAAATAAGATGCACAGTCACAACCTATTTTCGTTATGAGTGCGTGTGAAATCGTACGAAAAGTTATGCACCGTAATTTCGTACGTTTTGGACGTTTTTTTCGTCGTATGCGCATGCGCATCTGACGCACCAATTACGAATATAGAATATAAATTACAATTAGCCCTAACCCTGACCCTAACCCTAAGATATAAAACAGCAAGCAACGTAGTTAGAGACATGAATAAGTGATGATTGCACTGTTTTTCCCATTTTCACGTCCGTCCGCAGATCTGCTTTTCTTTTCTGTCTGCCAGCGCATGCGCACTGATGTGGTTTTTTGAGGATAAACGTCCAAAAACGAACGAAATAGTGTGCATAACTTTTCGTACGATTTCACACACACTCATAATGAGAATATGTTGACAGTCATGTTGCAGGATCTTTGCTTAATGGCTGGATATAGATCTTGTGCTTTTAGATTTCACTCAGGGATGGGAGGGGCTCCATTTATAAGGGATATGTAAGTGATCAAAAATGGTTACTTGCCCTAAAAAGGTTTAAATGTATAAATATGTTTTGAATCTTTCCAGCTTTATTTGTAAGGCCACCTTGGTTGACTTTAATGCACTATTTTGCTTTGTTATCTATCTTTAATTTTCATAAAAACTAGAGCATATTTGTGTTCAAAATATAAAGTCAGAAAAGCAGAAACATTGAAGAGCTATTAACACTTTTTTATAACACATTTATGTCATTCAACATGTTTTTAATGATGATGCTTATCTAAAATGTTTGTGCCATCTATAGTTTCCAGGAGCAGAAAAGATGTCTGTGACCATTAGCAAGACCGACGGGGTGACTGTGTTCACCCTGACCTCTGACCCTGATAGCCCCTGGCCTCCTCTGTGTCAGATCCTGAAGAGCCTGTGCTACAGCCCGGTGTGCTGCTCCGTGTCCCAGAAGCTGAGGACAACCCAGAGGAAGTCTCTGTCTGTGCTCGGGGTGAGCTGCAAATCTAAAGTCTAAATTTAACTGTTTTTAAAGAATGTTTAATTTCAGAGTTTGTAAGAAATGGGATATAGAGGGCTCAGAGTTTTACTGCACTTCATAGAGAAGAACACCAGGGAGGGGTGTTAAAAGTATCCATGTGTGTTACTACAGTAGAAGTATAAATCCTGCTTTTGTAAAAGTTAGAGGATCGACTTCAGCTTTTTATTACAGTAAAAGAGTAAAAGTACAGTTTTTAAAACTACTTAAATTATAAAAGTAAAAGTAATGTTAAGGTCAGAAGCTTTACTGCTCTACCCTACTAAAGGATAGGAAGGGGCAACCCTCCTCCTGCGATTGGCCCATCTCTGGTTTTGCTCAGAGGTCCTTCCCAGAGCCGTCAACGGCAGATGTGGTGCTGAATGGAGGGTACGGCGATGGCTGCCTCTTTGTCCAGAAAGAGGGGTGGCTGGTACCCAATCGACGCCTCGGAAGGGAATAGTCCATTGCCAGAGGTGATGCTAGTGCTGTGGGTGTATTCTACCCATGGAAGGAATTGACTCCACTCAGAGGGATCAGTAGCTGTGAGACATCTAAGGCTGGCTTCCAACTCTTCATACGCTCCACCTGGCCATTGGATTGGGGGTGGTAACCTGAAGTGAGAGAGACCTTGGCACCTAGAGCCGAATAAAAACGTCTCCATACCTGGGAGATGAACTGCGGGCCGTGGTCAGATAGAATGTCCTGTGGGAGTCCATGGAGACAAAAAACATGCTTGACCAGAAGCTGGGCTATTTGCATAGCTGTAGGGAGATTTCTCAGAGGAACAAGAAGGCAGGCCTTGGGAGGGTTGATGAGAGGGCTTGTTACGAGCGCAGGTGGGGCAGGCCAAGGCAAACTTCTTAACATCCTTCAATAAGGAGGGCCACCAAAAACGTCGACTGATGTGGGCCACAGTTCGGCTGATTCCTGGATGGGCAACAAAACTTAAGAGGTGTGAAGCCAGTTTATCACACGAGCACGAATGGAGGAAGGAACATAAATTTTGTTGGGTGGTCCGGTACCGGGGTCAGGTTCAGATATTTGGGCCTGCTTAACAAGATCTTCAATCTCCCAGGTTACTGCAGCAACTGAGCAGCTAGGAGGCAGAATGGGAGCAGCAGTCTCTTCAGATTCATCCGAGGCAAACTGCCGTGAAAGCACATTTGACGTTCCGAAAGCCAGGGCGGAAGGAAATAGAGAGG